AGATCGTGCTTTTTGGTGCTCTCCTTCGTGCCAAAACATCGTGGTCTAGATCGCGATCGCTGTTACAGCTATTAGGATAGACTCAACATATTTCAGTTATTTGGGATGCGATTTACCAAAGTTTTGTCAGCCCACGAGATGACATCGGCCAGCATATGGAGCCAGTCCAGCGCCTAAGGCGGCACAGACACATCAAAAACAAAGGCTGGATCAGGAGCTGTGTCGTGCTATGATGCACCACGTGGAGTGGGAAATGATGGAAAACTGACAGATTGATGCAGAAATGGCAGATTGAAACTTCCATCAGTAGCTAGATTACTGCTAGATTTGGGGAACATGCCCTGTCGGTTTCAGCAGCATGACACAAGATGCTGTTCTCCGTCATGTTGACCCGAGTCAAGCTGCATCAGCCTTGGCATCATTGAGCATCATTGAGCATCCAGATGTTGATGTTTCCAGGATCGCAAAGACAAAGGGCTTTCTGTCGATCCGAAAGCGTTCCGGGCCAAGACTCACCTTGGGCTGTCGTGAAGATCATGAAGTCATGAAACAGATTCAGAAAATCTGTGTTTGCGGAATCGCTTGTGCCGAATACGTCCGAATACCGGAAACCAAACTTTACTAAACTCAATACTAAACTCAATATACAACTCAATAAGGCAACCAAAAGGCTTTTGACATGTGTGTTGGTAGAAAATCCAGAATCAGAAGAATCAGAAAGCAACAAAATTCTGTATTGTCACAAAGGCTGAGAGTCTTCTAAGCTTTGAGCCTTCAAGTGAAAGCTTGACATGTTGCGATCAGGAGTGTTGCCGGAGGCGGGTTCCTCGTTCCGACGGGTTGATGGGAGATGATGGGAGATGATGGGAGGGAAGGCAACTCCGACTCCTTTTTGACTTTGCCGCTTTGCCTTTCTGGCTCTTTTTGACCATTTAGCTCCGATTCCTCTGTGTTTGGATGTTTATTTCATTGTATTTTGACATCATTTGACCAGTGATCAACTTCAGGACACGTCAATTGACATTCGGAACCACGCCTTTTTCAAGGCTTCTTTGAGATCCACTGGCCACGCGGACCGCCAGGAATGCCAGGAATTCTGATGCCCAAACCTGGATCCGATCAGGTACAGGTGCGCACTCAGTGCGGACAGTTTACCCAACTGAACGACATGTGGTAAGTCTTTCCATCGGATTCGGATCCCAAAAAACGTGGGTAAATATTTGTGGGTAGATCGTGTGACTTGTCTGGACACTGCAAATCGCACATGTCCAGTTGTGGTTCACCCCTCCATGGGCCCATGGGGTCCGATTCAAGAAACAGCACAATCCCGAGATCAAAGTTTCATCCCCCTGGGGCAAGTCCAGCTGTGGAACTCTAGCATTTTTTTCACACTTAGAATATGCATGATGAGTTGCAGCACCCAGGCAATTTTAGAAACTTTCACATCTTTAGCAGCTACTGGTAGGAATGATAATGGTAGGCACTTATTATTTTGCCATATGCCCAAACACTGTATTGGGATGTGTTGGGAAAGTTGGAAGATTGTGCTTCGCCGGAAATTGATGTCGTTTTGAATTCATTTGACAGGGCCCTTTCAATGTCTCGATCTCTGTCTGCAAGAAACCTTCATTTCACATCCTGCCATACTGCAGAAATGTGCTGGTTGCCGCTGTTGGCAGGTGGATGTAAGTGTTCGAGAGGACGAGTTGCAGAAGCAAATCGAAAAGGTTGGAGAAGTTCATGGTGACCACGGGCTGTTTCACTCTCCAGCAATGCTAGTACCAATACATCTTCAACTCATTTCAACTATGTTCAAATAATTATATTTTCGATCGAACATCATCAAACACTCTCAAACTTGAAACAATTTTCATCATTTTCATCCTTCAACCGGTCTGAAGTGGCTCATTGGTCATGCTTCAATGAGACTTCCAGACATTGAAGCTCAGTGACTGTGACACGTTTGCCCTTGAACAGTCCACGGATCCACGGATTGGTTGAATGGAAGGAAAAGAACCATGTTTTTTCCCCCATCAAATTTGAGTGCTTCCCTGCACTTTCAGTTGTTTTTTGGTCTACAGCTAGGTCTGGTGGCCAAACTCAAGCAAATGCTTTCTTTCGGTTTTGCGTTTCCGGACATCAGGATTGCAACGGAGTATGTATATTATATAATTAATAGTAGGACATAGTAGGACTATATTGACTATAAAATCGGCATTGGAGTGCATCGCACGTGCTTGGCATCTTTTGTGTGACCACTGTGACGAACCAGCTGCTGGTCTCTCCAAACTGTGTCAGGCTGGTGAACCCGGAAGTGTCTTCTGGAGCTGCAGATAGTGTTGACTGTTGCCATCTGCCCTTGATGCATCGACAATCCAGATGCATCCACAATCACCCGCAGTTTCGGGTTCTGTGAAACGCTTTGCCCGTGACTCAATACGTCATGCCATGTCATGCCTCAGGAGTCCAGAGATCATGAAGTCACACATTACAGACATGTTGGGGCAGCTGCACACAAGCGAAATGCTGGATCCTTAACGGCCTTAACGACCTTAACGAACAGAGTCTCAGAGGCATGAGTTGGAATTGCTTTGCAAAGCGCGCTTTGCTTTTTCATGTGAAAGCATGCAACATGTTTAAGCCTATATGAATATTTGTGGGCGATGAGCATGGTGAGAGAGCATGAGACGCTTTTATACGCTTGTATGAATATTTTGTGTGGAATGAATCGATTCCTCATGCATTTCAACTGCAACATTTGCACTTCCACATTCAAATTCAAGCAGAAACATGTTAACATGTTGCATCTCAGAAGATTAATTGCACTTCCATCTGGCTGTATTTCCCTCATGGCATTCTCATTCAATTCTCAATTTGCAGGTTGCCATGGTTGCCATGATTGCCATACTGCCATACCCATCCATACACTGTCTCTGTTCCAAGGGAGGAGTTGTTGGGGGAGCAAATTGAGTTGCTTCGCGCGGCTGGGGCCTCAATGCAACACACAGGCTCTGCAGACAAGTCAAACCAATTGGGAAGCAGTATGGCGCCATATGGCGCCACTAGTTGGACAGTTGGGCTAGCAGCATCTAGCAGCAATCTCACACACCAAAAAAGTTTCCTTGCCATCTCCCCTTCAGCAAGCTGCAAGGTCTGCACAAAGAATTCAGGCCTGGCGAAATGGCTAAGTGGACACGACAAAGACTCAAAGGAGCGAGCCATGGTTGAGTGGACAGGACAAATTTGGCTTACTCGGCACTGAGAAATACCACAATTGATTGATTGCTTTGATTTGATTTGATTTGATTGATTGATTTGATTTGATTTGATTGATTGATTGATTTGATTTGATTTGATTTGATTTGATTTGATTTGATTTGATTTGATTTGATTTGATTGATTGATTGATTGAGTGATTGAGTGATTGAGTGATTGATTGATGCACTGCAACCTGCCGGTGCAAGCACCGTCCGGGCAGGACTTTCTGCCACATGCACTTCCTAGAATACTAGAACCAGATAGAACCAACATGTTTGTACTTCGATACTTGATATACTTGCACTATCTTGCACTTCTTTGACGGTTCCTTCGTGGTCCGATATTCCGGTGTTCCTGCATTCCTTTTTTTGCAGGACCATCACGAAGGTGTGAAGAGTATGGTTGAAGGTTTAGAGCCAGCGCCTCGGGGAACCCAAACTTTGGCCCGAAGGCAGTCACTGCTACAGATGCACCGCTCAGGCAGCGGGTGGAGAAGTGCGGGCGAAAATCCGAGACCACGCTTTATGGATGTCAGGACAATGCCATTGTGGAGACTCCCATTCAAGGGTGATAATCTTCACCGTTTTGCGATCTTCCAGACAGGGACTGTTCCAGGACATGGGTGAGCGCATGGTAGCATTGATCAATGCAGTGCCTTTGCCAAAGACTGGCCCGGGGACAATCTGATCAATATGTCACTGCAAAACTTTCACAAACCTTTCCATCTAGTTTACCAATGGCCATGAAGGCTACACTATGTTCCTGATATGTTCGTTGTCAGATGTGATCAACCGTCAAGAGGTTAAAACCATAGCATTTGGAAACTGTCACCATTTGTCACCTGTCCCTCCATTCACTGAGGCCTTTGCTGAACGGGAGAGGGTTCGGTGCTGCCCCCAGTATCAGCATCATCACGGTGACTGTGTACAGCATACTTCATGGTGAGGGCTTTGATTCCCCTCAGCACACAATTTCTTTTGAGTTTGTGTTATTTTCTGGCTGGTGGTTTCACATATTATATATATAATCATATAATATATATATATGTATATATATATATATATACATATGTTTTTCTTTTTAACGACAGAAATGGGATGATGATCCCTCGTCACGAATATGTCAGGGGGTTGAAACCACCGCCCAGTATTTGTTGCTTGCGCATTGCGCGCTTGCCTTTTATCTTGTGACACGGCCAGTTCATACGGATAAAATCCATGGAGATCAGGGGACTCAACTTATTTTGACAGTTTGTTGGGAATGTATCCTTTGCATTATTTTGCTTCTAGATCCCGGCAGATATCTCAAGAACGTCGTTGTGTGGAGGTTTGCTCCAATAGGGAATTATGCAACACTCGCAGTCAAATATATAATATTATATATATTATATATATATGGAAATATGATGAAATATGGTTGGTTGCTTAATGTTGCTTGCTATTTCATGTTTTAACGTTGAGACCGTTCGAGAACTTGACTTTTATCCAGTTCGTGGTGGCAATGGCATTGTGCCAGCGAGGCAGTTGCTGCTCAGTGATGCAGACATTGTGGTGACAGAAGAAAAGAAAGCGTTGCTGGAAGAACGTCGCAGGCAGGTCAGGCACAAATGTGCTGATGATGACTACACGGATTTACATGTTTTGTTCAGGGTTGTTTAGTATGTTTAGTGCCTTGACTTGAAGCTTCTTATCCATCCCAGTTTTACATGACCTCAATCTGGAAGAGCCAGGATCGGACAGGAGATGAGCAATAAAGTGCGATTGATGAAGCAGCAAGAGGACCTTGAACTGACCAATGCTTCCACAACGTATCAGTACCATGCATACCATTTGTTTGATATTGACAACATGTCACAACTCTACCTTCGGAATCTTTCAGATGCAGTCCACCCTACTGTAAGGATAGGCAGGTCACTTTGAATCGGTTTGATCCATTACTGGTCAATTCATCTCAATTCCATCCTGAAAAAATCTGACCGATAGTTGCAATTGGAGGCCCGGGGTTCGCTTCATGGACAACCAGTCGATCAGTGCAGGACGAATTTGGCTATGGCGGTATTGCTGAGCCTCCAGCGGTGGGGCCACGAAATTGAAATCTAAACTTGGTACATGAAAGCAAAACAAGAGTAACTATAGATGATGCTAGATGCTTATCATTGCTTATTTGTTTGAAGATTTGAAGAGGTTCTAGCCGACACATGCAAAAGTCACTGGTTCTTCAGCCATCTGCTCGGCAGATTGCTGACCTGCGGCACCGCATCGAGAAAAAGACAAAGAAACAAAATAAGCTCAAGGTGTGGTCAGTGTGGTCGGCTACCATCAGCCATCATCAGCCATCGGCTGCCGGTGGTAGTTCCGCGAACCATGGGCATCCCAGATGTTGTCTTGACAATTCTCCGACTTGTTCCACGAGCCTTTTTATGATCAACTTTGGAGCTTTTGTTTGAATGCCATTGGGGTGTGCTGAATTATCAATATGTTTTTGTCATCGGAAATTGAAGCTTAGAATCAGACTTTGCCAGCTGTTGAATATGTTCCTGAAACCGAGGTCCCAGTCTGCTGGAACATGCTGGAATCATCGGATACCCTCAGTTCTATCAATTGTTCAATTTGTCACGATCCATAGTATAAACAAAGCCATCCAAAGATATGATATCGCAGAAGGAGCATGTCAGCACACTGCAGGGCTGCCCCACCAGGCAGAGCAAGAAGGCGTCCAGCACAGATTGAAGTCTTTGGAGCAGGTGGGACTTGGAGACCGCAGTTGGATCCCGTAGCCATTGTGGTGCAAGACCTCCCTATCATTATGAACAGGAACATTCCATGAACATTCGAAATTTCGCAAATCTCACCATGTGGGGCTTGGTTGCACTCTCACTTGTGGTGAGCACCGTGGGCACCGTTGCTGAGCTCGAGCCTCTCGAGCAGAACTGCCTGTTGCAAACCAAGGAATCCAAGGAGCAACAGCTGGTGGTGCAGGAGCAAACTCAAGGAGCTTGGACAGCTCCTCCTGGCATCTGGCGATGTCCTCTATTGTGGAGGGGATTGCCAATGCAACTGGTCCCAGTTTCCAATTGTCTTTGGAAAATTGTGAAAACCGGTGCTCAGGCTCGCCAGGATTTAACATGATTTAACTAGGGCCCAATTTCCACCGGCCCTGGTGTCATATCTCTGACATGTAAATGTTGCAATACTCCAGCTATCTCCAGCTAATGTCATGAGAAATCAACTGGTGGAACAACCTCCTTCTGGCTATGACTTCAAATGCGGGCCTTTTTGCAGATGCGCAGACTTCTTTGGAAGTGAATGGGGTTTGAGTATTGATGACTGCGCTGCAAAGTGTGCGGACGAGTGAGGGTTCATATTCTACTGACTGCCGATGCTGCCGCGATCTTGAAGAAGTGGGATCCATATCCCCCTGTGACTACTCAATTGACTCAATGGTGTTTGTATGCACCCTCTGTGGCAGGCATCCTCGCTGACCCACACATCAGTACTTTTGATGTCCAACGTTACACTCTTCTCAGCCAGGGCACCTTTTCACTGTGGCACTTCTCAGGGGTGGACACGGACCATTCAGACGAGATTGCAGGAACCAAGAAGCTTCCCGTCGGATTGGCAAGTCTATGCCCATTATTCAGGTCGCCAGTCCTTCACAAAGGATACAAAGGGCTTGCTTCTCATCGACAACACGGCAGAATCCATGCGGCAAGTGCTCGAGATCACTTCACAGGACTGCAAGTGGAAGGCACGGAAAGGAAACGAAGAGTGGGTCGTGGACCCGGTAGACAAGCTGATCTCCGTCCCAGACGGTAGCTCATGGCCATCACTTTCCCAACCGTGTGCGCTTCAACATGGCAAGTCAGACATTTCGGTCCTGAGCCTCAGTTGCAGGCCCAACCACAACCTCAATGTCCAAATGTCCATGAACCGCAAGAGTGACCAGCAATTCGTGGATGGTGAGTTGAAGGGCTCACGTAAGTCGCTGTCTACACTGCAGATGTCGACCGACTCTGAATTCCGCACGGATAGCAAGTGGCAAGAGATTGGAGGAAGTGAACAAGCAGCTCGGTACCTTCAGCTCGTTGATGAAAATTGGACATCTGTTGCCTTGCTACAATCGCACGGCTGCAGGGATGCTGACAAATATTGGGCCAAAGAGCACTTGGGAGAGGCATATGGCACAGAGAGCACGGAGTTTTTAGAAGATTGCATTTATGACCTGTGCCATAGCGCTGGCGAGACGCAAGCAGAACTTGCAGCAGAGCTTCTGACAACGACCAAAGCCAATTAGAGAGTTCTCTTGTGGATGAATATCGTCGCGTATATGAATTCCTCGCGGCGCAAAGGTCGGAGAAAAACAGATTGAATTACATTGGATGTGCTGATCACGCCTTGAAAAACAGTTTGGTTGATTGCCGTTTTCAAATGTTTTCAATCTATCCGGGAACACCGTGTAATATCGTGCAGTTGCGAAGCGTATGAGCGTATGACATCATCACACATTACAACATATTTGACATATTACAACAATTAAGTAATATCAACAATTATCAACATGACTTCGCTGAAAGGTAGCAGGGCTTTCTTAACAAGTCATGTCTCGGGGCATTTTTTCCAGGCTCTACAGGCCGTTGAACGTGGAGAACGCACAGACAAGATCCATGTGAGGAGACCCAGTGGATGGATGTGGATGGCAGGTCAGATGCCGCCAGAAAAAAAAACACACTTATTTCTTAAGCTTAGCATTCTCTTAAGTATACAATTTAACCAAGAAAAATACATGTATAATATTGATTAATATTGTATAATCATGTATAGCGGGCATGGGCCGAATATGTGTGTATGCGGTATGCGTGTGTTACTGTTGTCATTGCAAATGAAAAATCAGCACACAGGGAACTTGAATTTTAGCGGCAATGCCATCAGCCGGATGAGTTTGCAGATCTGTTCGTAGAGTTGAGTATCTAATTTTGATACATGGATTTCTTGAATCATATTGAATCATTATGGACTTGACTGTACATGTGTCAGGCATGGTGAAACCGGGCTGGGTTTGTCTATCCCGATCCAAAAGTTTCCTTCACGCCTGTCGGTGTATGGCACTAGTGTGGCTTCCACATACCCTGGCAAGTCCCAGAGGGTTTGCACTTGTTCAAATGTGTGGAGAACGTCGGCTGTTCACCACGTGTGCCTGCTGCAAGAGTGGGTTTGTTTTTCCTTCGTTTTATTCCGGTTTGATTTTGTCTCTTTCCTGACCAGTGCTGGCGATGGTGGTGATTGAAAGCTGAACGGCCTGTTTAGATCAATTGACGTGTTGTCATAGTGTTTCGTCAGCTTTGCACATGGTGACAGCAGCATTCAATGATTTGGACCGGCAACACTCGCATCTGACAATTTAATTACAGAATATTATTTAATATTATTTAGCTTTATAATGCTTTATATATTGATTTTCATGGGAGGTAAGGAACATTGATTCATTGTATGTCATACAGTATCGATATGACATGTCGCGGGGCCTTGGCTGTCGCCACAGGCCTTGGACCAAAATGCACTGGAAACCATCGAAGAAGTGCAGCTCTCACGGTCGATTCGCAGAGTTCTTCAACCTGAAACGCTGTTTGAAACATGTTGAGATGTGTCATGAATGTCGTGAATGTCATGAATGTCATGAAATGTCATGAAACATGTTGCCTGGTACACGATCGATATCGTTCACATCTACACCTGAAAAACATCAAATTTGGATCAATTTGGATCTTCTGATTTTCTGTTCATATTCCATTTCGAAGCACTGGGAAAACCACAGAAACCACGGAAAACCCAGGCCAAAGGCCTCGCGCGACAAGCGGCCATTGCTCCTCGGCTGCATTTTGTGTCGGGTGTCATTGGTGATGACCTCAAGATGCTGCAGGCACCTCTGTTGGAAAGGATGAAGCGAGAACGGGGGCCGCTTGGCTGAAAAAAGAGGTAATTAATTCGCTTGAATCTCCAAATCAGTAGCTGGTTGGTTTTTTAGCATGCAACATTGATGGTTAATATTTATGATTATATATATATAATATATATATAATTATATATATATATATATAGATTTATCACTTTTTCAGCCTACCTGGCAGGACCAACACCTTAGGAACATCTTTGGGATTGAAATCACCAAAACCAGATACTCAAATAAAACACAACGTTTCTGAGTAGTTGCTTTGGACCTTTGTCTGATCGGACCCAAAGGTTGGAAAGTCCTGAACCTATCGAGATGCCCGAAAACATGGTAGCACGGAACCAAGTGAGAGAGTTGAAATTTCTGAAAGGCAAATCAAAACAACAACGTTCAGGATGGTCCTCACAAATTTTGTCAATGTGTATCAATGTGTTAGTGTGAACTGATGTAGGATCATATCAAGTTGTCTGATAACCTCTGATATGGACTTGCGTACGGCGTAGTACGGTCTTATCTCAAGTCTCAGTTGTTTTGGTTGGGCTGCAAGAAGCAGATCCATTGAGACCAGTTGCGCAAGGACAGAGGAAGCTTTGTGGCAGATTTGCATGGGACCCTGAGGCGGAGAAAGAATATCTGGAGCAGACTCTTGCAGAGGCACTGATCTGATCTATTTTTCATATGTGGATGCCACAATGTCGGAATGACTCTTGGTGGAGATTTCAAGTTGGTTTCGGATGCTCTTTGCGCAGGTGGAGAGGGAAATTGAAGGCATTGATAACTTGCGCGTAGACTGGGAGGTACGGCACCTACGACAACGGAAGTGGGATGAACTGGGATTATTTTTGATTCTAGTATTTTTGTTTTTTTGTTTATTTTGTTTTATTTTGTTTTATTTTGTTTTATTTTGTTTTATTTTGTTTATTTTGTTTATTTTGTTTATTTTGTTTATTTTGTTTGCTGTAGGGTCAAATCATGTCGCGCCAAAGACTTTCATCCCACTTTGCCGACCAGAACAAGCAAACTGGCAAGTAACATCAAGTAACGATCACTGCATTTCCGCTATAGAAAGCCTCTTACGACCTTCATTTTCATACAGATATATAGATGTCATACTGTAATATGAACCGCATGCAACGAGCCATCCACGGCCTGTGGCGAAGTTCTTGCTACGATGCTAGGGCCAACGACAAGCTGCCAGAAAGACGGTGCAGTACATCGAAGATGAAGCAGAGAAGCGTGTCTTGACTGTGAAGGGACAAGGCGGCGGATTGAAACGGATGGAACATTTCTGTCCCTTCGCCTGTCGTGTTAAGAGCAGCCTTTTCAAGGCTGTTGGGTGAGTATTTGTCAAGCAAGTGCCAATACGGGATAATACAGGGCTGCCTTTACAAGAAAGACTCATGTTCTCCGAAAGAGTAAACAGGCTTTTGTAAGAAATGAACAGAAATGTGAACATCAACGTGGCAAAAAGAGTATCCTGAGGATGATGGACTTGATCTGATTCATGTCAAGCATTTCTCATTTCTCTCCATTGATGTGTTTGGCAATTTTATCACTTTAGTTTACAGAATCCTGGTGGCCACAGATTAGAGTAGAGTTGCTTTACACATACCTCCGCCGCACACATCTTGTCGGTCTTAAGATGTGTCTTATGTCTTATGATGTCTTATGTATCGCCAGTTCTCTTCCATGATCCACAGAGCTCGATTTGGAATCTCAAGATGTCGTGAAGATTGAGTCAGTTTCATGGTATTTCCCTGTTCGTCCCCAAGCCTGAATCATTATCGTATATTATCATTATTGATTGGGAGTTCTGCCGGGAGCAGTTTCTAATGAAGTTCCCAGGCCTGTCTCTTTTCTCTGCGAAGCGACGGCGCTCCTATTTGGGCCCCATGCAGGTGCAACGTCGGGCAGAGACCGTATAACATGTTCATGGCTTCTGCCAGGTTTCAATGTCAAGCTTGAAAGCTTGAATAGAGGTTGTGTCAACTGGATGGGTTTTCTTATAGTTGAATGCAGGCGCAGATCATGGCACATAATTTGCAGATCCCACAGAGATGATCAGTTTCATCCATATTTTTCTACTTCTCGAATGGTGTAGTGGGTTAGAAAACATTAGAGAACGCCTACACCATCTAGACCAAGATAGAAACTCCTACAGCAATCTGCTGCAACTTCGCATTCCACGAAATGCCAAAGTTTGCAGGTGGAACCGCCTTTGCTGATGCCTATGCCACCATTCCTAGTGGAGAAGGCGCTGGCAATCAGAAATGCTGCAGGTCCATCAGTCTGAATCAGTACTGGTCATTAAGTTCTGTGTGAGTTCTGTCCGTTTCTGTCGGTCAGGCACCAAACATCAAAGCGGGACTGCGCCGTCGATGTAGGCCTGTGCTGATCTGTGCCGGCGTGCTGACCGCCTTTGGGCAGGAGTCACTGGCATCACTGGCACGAGATGGCACGAGATTGGTTGTTACTTTTTCTTTGTTGAAACCTTGTTTATTTTGTTTTAGCATGTTTTAACTATTTTTAACTATTTTTAACTATGTTTAGCTCATTTATTTCAGATACAGATACTCAAGATTACTCGAGCTGCTTGAGACAGTTTGAAAACTGTAGCATGAGATTTGGCACATCTACCCCATTTTACCCAGAGCGGTTGTTGTTCAGCTTTGTCTGTTGCGGCTTTCATCGTCAGGGAGATGCAAGAGGAGATGGAACCGCTGATGAAGTTGTTACCAAAATACCTGGCCCATGCCTCAACAGTTGTTGCATGGTGTTTGCCGGAAATGGCCCTAAGAGTAGGCTTTCACGATGCTTTCACACTGAGTTTCCTGATTCTGAGATCAACATAGACATAGAATGACATAGATCAATCGAGTTTCGAATTCCAGCGCCTTGAGGCACTGGCCAAGAATGCTGAGAAAACCGCCAAGGAACTTTGCCACTTGGCCAACTTGGCCGACTTGGCGTGTCGTTGTTGCCGTGGCTACCTCTGAGGCGAACAACGAGAGGAGTTTGTTCGCCACATCCGGTGGGATCCGGTGGCCGTAGGAAATCTACTGCTGAGGTGATTACAAAATTTACAAATGATTACAGTCTCCCAGATCATCATAGATCATCCATGATGCGGCTATTTCCATAATTTGTTGATTTGGTCATGATGATGATTATATATGATTCTGACATATTATGACATATTATGACTATACTTGGGTTTGTCAGGCGGTGCAATTGTCATGATCATCATTCTCATGACGCTAGGAAAACAGAATGTCAGGCCGACTTTGTGCCAAGTGTAATCTGAATGCAAATGGGGACCTATGCGTGATTCTATGGCTTTGCCAAACATTAAGGAGGGCTATTTATTCAGTTTTTCTTCGCGGCAGGTTTTGTTGTTTTTTTTTTTCCTGGTTCTATGCTTTCCTGTTTTTTGCTTTTCCTGCTTCTCTGCTTTCCCTGCTTCTTTTCTTTTCTGCTGCCCTGCTTTCCCTGCTTCTTTGCTTCTCTGCTTTCCCTGCTTTTCTGCGCTTTTTGCTTTTCCTGCTTTTCATGCTTCTCTGCTTTACCTGCTTCTTTTCTTTTCTGCTTCTCTGCTTTCCCTGCTTCTTTGCTTCTCTGCTTTTGTGCTTCTGTGCCTTTCTACTTCTACTATTCTACTTTTTCTTTTCTTCAGTCATGTGTTTTTGGTGCTCTACTCCCTGCTCCTTTGCTTCTCTGCTTCCTGTCTTTACTGCCTCTTTGTTTTTTTAAATTTTATTTTGCTTTATTCTCTCCTGTTTGTATCCTAAATGAAACCCTAAAGACCCTAGGCCCTAGGTGAAACCCAAAGATCCCAAAGAAACCCTAAAGACATCCTGATGATAAGAAACCCCTACATGAAACCCTAAATGAAACCTAAAGAAACCATCAATTTACCCTAAAGAAACCATAAATGAAACCCTAAAGAGACTTTGAATGAAACCCTCATGGCATCCCAAAGAAACCTTAAACGACACACTAAAACACCCTGAATGAAACCCTAAATCAAACCCAAACTGAATCCCTGAAGAACCCTAAATGAAACCGTAAAAGAAACCCTAAATGAAACCTTAAATAAAACCCCAAAGAAGCCCCAAAAAAACCCACATGAACGTTTGGAAATCCTGAGAAGAAATCCTGATAAGAAACCCTTAAATGAAACCCTAAATGAACCCTAAATGAAACCTTAAAAAACCCTACATGAAACCATATGAAACCCAAAATGAAACCCAAAATGAAATCCTAATGAAACCCTAAATGAAACCCTAAATAACACCTTAAATGAAACCCTAAATGAAAGCCTAAAGAAACTCTCAAGAAACCCGCATGAACGGTTGAAGTACCAAAATGTAGCAAATACCATGCAAATGAGAGCTTGAAGTGCCAAAAGGTCGCAAATACCATGCAGAATGGAAGGCAAACATGGCCAAATGATAGCAAATGCCCTGCAAAATGAAAAGTAACCATGCCAAAATGTAGCAAATACCATGCAAAACGACAGATTCTAGTTCCAAACTGTTGCAAATACAAGGCAAATTGTACCAGGAAAGAAAGCCAAAAAAAAATCCAAAAACTTTTCTGAACCTATAGGGAACCCCAAATCCAATGAGACATCTCCATACATCTCCATGTTCACAGGTCCTTGAAGCCAAAGTTTCTCAAGGATGTCAGGTGGGGCATTGCATCAATGGAATATGCAGAAGTTCACAAGAGGATCCAATGGTTAGGAGCTCTGTGGATGGCGACCATTGATGATTGGTGCATTCAACCTGGAACCTCGCGAGGTCTTTGGACCTTAATTATATATTTTGCCGGACCGTTGGATATGTTCACTTTTTATGCTGAGGACGCTGCAATCCGAACAAGTGTGACCCCTGCATAGGTAGATGTTTTCTTTGTCCAACTTTGCAACTTTGGCTCGGATCGAAGATCATTGGCCCATATTTTACCTTTCAATCCCTGCCAGCGGTAACCCATGACCAATTCTGACAACAATGGAAATGGTCATGACAGATGATGTTCCTAGTGAAAACAATCATTTGGATGGGATCCTTCCAGTACAATTACAGTCCACCAAGCAACGCCGGCTTGGCAGGTCTGGTGGGGCCAGGAAAATGGGCAACCAGGACCCTCCAAACCCACGTAAGTTAGACACTGCGAGTGTTTGCTACTTGATCTCACCACCAGTTTCGTTTGATTACGAATCGATGAGTCCACAAACCCAGGAGAACTATCTTTTGCTTGGTAGGTCTAGGACTACTCTCTGCGAGTCTCTCAAAATGGTTTTGAGGCGCAGAAGTCTGGACCCCCTCAGGACATCAATGCCAAATTGGAAGAGGAACAGATGATGAAGGAGGTCCTCGCCCCATCGGCCCTCCGTATACTGCAGAGACTGTAGAGCCAATTGGAGGTTGCCAGGCAGTTTTCCTTTGGATCTGACAATACAATTGTTTACATGTGATTTCTTGCTCAGGCACAGATCCGGACATATTTTTCTGCACAAAGACACTGACTTTGAACCAATGCAGGAAGACTTAGACACTCACATATTTGAATTCCATTTCTTGTAAAAAAGCATTAAAAGCCCAAACTGGACAAGTCTCACATACATCTCATATGCATCATCAATTTCCACGGCAAAAAAAAACATCTCTCAGAGGTGGAAAATGCCTGGGATGCAGAGGAGGCACGACCTTTCCAGGTTTTTATTCCTATTGAACTTTGCTTTGTGTAGATTGGGAACCTTTCCTAGAAAGAATTTTCTTTGGTTTGACAATGGGGAAGACCTAATCAACAACATCAACAGCATCGTTTTTCTTACATCTATCCATAATATATATTATATATTACATATATATTATATTATATATACACGTATAATATAATATTAATTATACATATATGTGTGTTTGGTGATATAGTATTTTTTTAATTTTTACTTATATAGATATATCAATATGTATATATATATATTATATCAACATATTTATATTATATTTCTACAGTGTTCTATAGTGTTGTTTGGATTTCAGAGATTTCCAGAGGTTTTATGACCGAGGCAAGACTCCTTGAAGGCCATGAGGCCTTACATCATCGTGCGACTTGGATGACTTGCTGCGACCTGGATCCCCAAGGGGTTGTTCAACAAGGGGTACATAAGTACACCCCAATCTATGACTTAATTTCTGGTTGATGTTAAGAATACCATACAATACCTATAATTTGAAGTAATACAATATGACATAACATAATATAATATAATATAGTATAATATAATATCGACCTGTAATATCACATATATATACACCCATTGAATGGTTGATATACCTATAATATACACAAAAAATATGGAACATGGTGAATGTATCCCAGAATTTGTGGCAAGGTTAAGATGATGATCAATATGATCAATCATGGGTATGCCAGTCTCAGACCCAGAAAATGCTGCTAGACTTTTCCATTGCTGTGCAGATTTTCCAATATTCCGAGGCAGGATTTTTCTCGGTCATTGCTGCAGAATTAGAGGAGGACAGGGGAGATCCGGAGCACCCGATGATTTTCAAGCGAGTTCCCGATGACATCCGATGACTATTAGATAAGTGGTTCCAGATGGTTCCAGTTAAGATGTTAAGACGTTTGAAAGTGGAGAGGATGAGAGGAGCATTTTTGAAGAAAACACCGCTACGGTCAAAGAGTCAAACTACTCGTGAGGTCGAAGGTTGATAAATTCAGATAGATTCATTCATCCAACAATTCTGCAGCAATATCCATCTTATCCAGGTGATCTCACCGGTGCGCAGGAGTTCAACAAGCTGGAAGAGGCCGTGCAAAAGAACCGCTGGGCTTTCGAGGATAAGATGGCCTTGGAGGTCCCGAAGCAGTGTCACTGGTTTGAAACCACCTGTAGCAAGTCTTGATAAGCAGATAGGAGCAGTATGTTGGGAACCTTTGAGGAAGTTCAGAAGTAATGTGAGCTCCTTAATACCCTAGTAGCCCATAGTAGCCCATAGTGGCCCATAGTAGCCCATAGTAGCCCATAGTAGCCCATAGTAGCCCTAGGGAATGGTGTCAAGCTAATCGGCTTCCTTTGGTGCTGTGGCGACAGGCCTTGCATGAGGAACAGGAGGGAGAAGAGGAGAGGGGCGATGAGGCGACGGGGACAAGGCTTCAGAGAGATCACCAGGCAGGGCAAAATGGGCAAAGCCCAAGTGCAGCCGCTGCAGCCGTTCCATGTGACAAATGTAGGGTAATCACGGTAGATCGGTAGATCCAAAATCTAAAGCTTTGAAGTGACCTTGATGATCTCATGGGTCCCCTGTAGTGTTTTGGACACATAGACCTGCTCAATGCGGGACAATATCTCATGTTTGCACTCATGTCAAATTTGAAGCAAAAGGTTGTTTTTGCATTTGTTTTGGTAAGTATAGCAATTTTGACCAAGAAGCTGACAAAGGCTATAGTCTCAATTTCATTGTCATTGTAACTAAGCATTGAGTAGCATGAGACCCTGCTATAGCGGGTCAATTCCCATATCCCATCAGCATCTCGAAGGATTTTGAGTTAAACCTTCCAGAAGATGAGGTCCAGCGGGGGAACTGTGACGCTGAGCAGAAAACTGTGCTATCTCAGTCAGCTCAGCATTTGCCATCCTTGACTCATGATTGCAGGGCATCAATGCACCAAATTCACCATTGTGTTTGGGCTCTGCACCGCTGGGTTCATACATGCGAAAGAAGAGTCTAAGGTCATCAACGGTCACACCTGCGCAGTGCTGACATCATGTAGGATATTTAGGTGTACGTAGGTCAAGAATTATTGACCCAACCAAATGCTTGGTTAAGTTTAATACTGAACATGATCAATTTCTGTGGGTACGTTGGAACCCCAGGTTTGGCAGTTTGGCCCTTTTCCATTGGAGGCAGAGCCGGCGTACGTGGAGAATTTTTTGGCCATGGAGGTGTGATTGCGCCGCGACGTCCCCAGTGTAGTAAAGATGGAGAATTCCAAAAGAATGTGTTTTTTCATGTTTTTTCACATGTTGAATCACGTTGATTGTGATTAGGAATCCACTATAAATTATATATATATAATTTATACTTACTAATTAATTTATTATAAACCATTAATTACAATTTGTTTACTTTAGCTGCTAGCTGCTTTAGCTGTTTTTTTTTTGTTGACCTGCCTTGGCATTTGCCTTGGCGTGTTCTTGCGTCCTTTCATTTCCTGAGGGCAAAGAAACCTTGGTTTAAGGTCAAGGCATGGTCAAGGCATGTTGTAAACTGCCAAAGGAGGACGAGTCCTTGTTCCTGGAGAAAGCGATTGCTGCGTACCGTATCCATGATGAGCAAGGCTGAGATCAGTCCTCGCTGTCCAAATGTTCAAATCTGGGAAGGCTGAGATGGCCTAAGGGACCCCTTTTCAAGATCTGCCGAGATCTGCCAGTTCAAGGGTTTTTTGTGATTGAATGAGATGATAAGACTATGAGACTTTCCCCAAACCCAGTGCAATATATTGCAATGTGCATGGGTCTTCCTGCAACTTTTGTGTTTTTCTCAGCCCCTTTTGCGCTGTCAGTCCTGGCCAGTTTCATCGAAGAAGGCATTGAGGCTGGCGTCCCATACTTGAATTATTGTAAGGTTGCACAATAATTTAAATGTATACATTATACTACACAGTATATATACAATTATATGATATATATATATACTATGAAATATAATGTGAACATATATTAATTATAAATAGTCTTTGATATGATATACAATGAAGTATAGAATAAGACATGAAGCATGTGGTGAATCATGACATTAGTGACATAGCCGCCCATTTGGCTTTGATCGCCCGCCGGAGGTCGAGAAACAGGCGCTTGAGGAGAGGAAAAAGGAGCCCAGCTTGACATCTTGAAACATCTTGAAACATCTTGAAACCACCAAAAACTTGACAAATGATTGATAGAATGTTCAAATTAAATGATTGAACGCTCCAGGAGGTGGAAGACAAACAGGTGAAACGAGACATTTACATCTCCCTGCTGCGGGAGCGTCGCAACTCCATGGCCCAGGCTGGGAACGCGCGGCTGTGTTCACGTTGGAAATTCTTTGGGCAGTGTCACATATGTCACATATGTCACATGGGGTCCCTGTTTTCCTTGGAAACATCCCCGAACTGAAGGGACGTTTCAGTGATTTTGATTTTTTTTAACGGGGAAAATCATCGATTTTCCACAGGTTTGATGACCAGAATCTATGGACCGGCGCAAGGCGATGGTCTCACCGCAAGACTCTGCAGTTACGGTGGGGCCCTGGGACCGCCCTCTCCTGGATTCGCTGTGGATCCTTTAGGATTTGTTGGCATATGCCATTATATCCTAAGATATGCTAAATAACAAACACATACACCCACAATTTTAACATATGCTGGCAGTCTATGGCAGTCTAAATGTCTATGTTCATCATGTTCATCGACTCATCCACCAGCCAAGACGTAAAAACGGCGTATTGGGGGAACCAATGGACCAGCAATTTGGCCCAGGACGATTCAGGGTCTTCGCCTCGGGCAGGTTTTTTGTCAGAGGTTGGACCATTGGATCAGTTGGATTTCGCCAGCTCTTGGCCATCGTTCCATTCGAAGATATGAGAGCATGTGGAAGTACCTGGATTCTGGGAAGTACCAGTAGGCAGGCTAATCCAATGAACATAATGAACAATATGTGAGGTATGTTACACAATGTTACACATAAATCACCTATAATCACCTAGCATTTGTGTATAATTTGCATATCACCTAGTTATCCTAGTTGAGTTTGACACATTTTGACACTCAACTCATGACCGCTGGCAACTTGGCACTGCACCGAGGTCGAATCCAGTCTCAAGAACTGCATCCAAGGCACAGCAGATCGCCGTTCATGGATGGCTAGACACGGACATAGAGGGTCTGGAAGGTCTGGAATCCTATCATTGCAAGACCCGAAATATCCCGAAATCGAGGATATGCATAGGATATGCATAGGATGAAGATCGAAGAATTCAAACGTTGCAGCTAGCAAAATGCTGCCGCCACTTCTGAAGAGAACTAGTAAGATGATTATTATGGTGACTTTCCAGTGCCAGGCTGATTTGCCGGCAAACTACCCCAACCTAGGACAGATTACTACCTTTAGCACAGATTATCCTGGTGCTTTTTGCAGGACACACTTGTGGAGGAGGACACGACAACTCGGATGCGCGGGAACTGAGGGTCAACAACTTTCAAAAGTGGGACATTTGCATCAATCATTGGTGGTCAATGCAAAGTAATGCAATTTGTTTGTGACAAAGTCTTCACTGTGTGCAATGGCAAAGTGTGCCAAAACCTTCCAAGTTTTGCGGCCCGTCCAATCTTTTTGTCCCGTTCTTGTCCAGTTGTCACAGGAGTCTCCCTCTGGCAGAGGCGGGACGAAGTGCAGTCATTTTCTCTGCATTTTGTAGCTGGTTGAATGGAAAGTCACGGAAAGCACCGCGTGGAAGTTGTTGAAATTTGTTGAAATTGAAGAAATACAAAGAAATACCCTGACTTTCCATGATGTCCTTGGATATCTTTGCTATTCTCTCCAGCTGATCCACTTGCTTCTCACTCCCAGGCCCTTCACTTTTGCGTTTGTCATCCGATGGCCACCGGAACAAGCTATCCTTGCCTTCGGGCAGGCTCGATATATGAATGATCAACAAATGGTAGAGCTTGATGACAAATATTGGCCTTGTTTGGCCTTCATGAAGAGATGGTGATTGGTGCGTGATGAATTTCCTTGATTGAAGGCTATTCGGTGCTAGTGTTGTGTCCGCCTTTTTGTTACGGCCAATTCAAGCAAGTCCTTTTGCAACAGTTGCAACAGTCATAAAAGGGTTTGAATATGGGTTTGTCTCAAAAACTGGACACCCCAAAAATCCAATGGGGAATCATCATGAATCATCATAGTTCCACATTTAAATGGCTAATTGATGAGTATCTCCATGTATCTCCCGTTTTCAGTCCAAAGTCGTCGCGCAGAGTGTGGGGAGTCCCAAAGGGCCGCGACGTGCCTGGCTGACTGTCAAATGTGGCTGCAAACTATACATTAATGCAATCTTAATGCAATATTAATGCAATTTTCTAAGATATATTATCAACCTATAAATATCAATTTTATTGGTATTCCAGATTTTCTAGACCAATGATGACCGATGGATTTGTGCATACGAATCAATGACTTCCTTTCTGTTATTTGTCACTCATCCTTGCGTGGTATGGTCGAGCACAGTTTCCCCGGGGCACACCACAGCCGGGAGCGGAATAGTCTGGTTGATTGAGGCAGACCATGCCCAGATTGACTTCGCAAGGTTCGAGACCAGGCACTATGGGTGAAGTGCTGAAGTGCCGGTTTTTCTCAGACTTTGTCAGCTTTCGCTTTGCTGCTACATGTCTCCAAGCCACCCTTGGCGTAAAGGCTATAGCAATAGAGTGCATGATCCCTGGACAGGTAGCGCCAACGGAGAGGGGGAGGCAGGGACGGGCGCGAGTTCGGAAAGGGCAGCTTGGAAGTGAAGTAGGTTATAGATGGTTATAGTAGGTTTGGTTCCAATAATCGTCGAAATACGATGCTGATTTCTGCCGACCATGCTTTATCATGTTTTTTAAGGTGCTGGAAGGTTGTGGTGAAATCGCCATGCTTCACTTGCCATAAACGGAGGCTTTTCGCCAGTTTTCAGCAGGTCAAGTTTTTGGGCATGGCTTCACCTGTGTTGCTTTTCAAAGCTGCTGACATGCTCCAGCTAGAAGTGTGATGTACGAAAAGGGATAGTGAAAATTAAAGGACCGGATAACCCCACATGTTACCAACTTCTTTAGACTTAGACTGACCATAGAAGAGCAAGAAGGGAAGAGGAAGTATAAGAGTGATGGAGCGGTGATGGTGGGTGAGTTTGTGTGTATGTATGTATGTTCATGTACAGTGAGTGAGTGAGTGAGAGTGTGAGTGAGTGATGCGAGTGTGGTGTGTGTGAGTGAGGGATGTGAGAGTGAGTGAAGTGAGTGAAGTGAAGTGAAGTGAAGCGAAGCGAAGTGAAGCGAAGCGAAGGGAAGTGAAGTGAGTGAGCGAGCGAGCGAGCGAGTGAGTGAGTGAGTGAGTGTGTGCGTGTGTGCGTGTGTGCGTGAGTGAGTGAGTGAGTGAGTGAGTGAGTGAGTGTGTGCGTGTGTGCGTGTGTGCGTGTGTGCGTGTGTGAGTGTGTGAGTGAGTGAGTGAGTGAGTGAGTGAGTGAGTGAGTGTGTGAGTGAACGCAAACCCACGCAAATGAGGCGGAGACCAAGGGACGCCAGGGCGTACATCCGACCCCTTGGCAGTGCACATGGTCCCACGCCTGCCACGCAAAAGAGGCGGAGACCAAGGGACGCCAGGGCGTACATCCGACCCCTTGGCAGTGCACATGGTCCCACGCCTGCCACGCAAACGAGGCGGAGACCAAGGGACGCCAGGGCGTACATCCGACCCCTTGGCGGTGCACATTGTCCCACGCCTGCCACGCAAACGAGGCGGAGACCAAGGGACGCCAGGGCGTACATCCGACCCCTTGGCGGTGCACATTGTCCCACGCCTGCCACGCAAACGAGGCGGAGACCAAGGGACGCCAGGGCGTACATCCGACCCCTTGGCAGTGCACATTGTCCCACGCCTGCCACGCAAACGAGGCGGAGACCAAGGGACGCCAGGGCGTACATCCGACCCCTTGGCGGTGCACATTGTCCCACGCCTGCCACGCAAAAGAGGCGGAGACCAAGGGACGCCAGGGCGTACATCCGACCCCTTGGCAGTGCACATTGTCCCACGCCTGCCACGCAAAAGAGGCGGAGACCAAGGGACGCCAGGGCGTACATCCGACCCCTTGGCAGTGCAGATTGTCCCACGCCTGCCACGCAAACGAGGCGGAGACCAAGGGACGCCAGGGCGTACATCCGACCCCTTGGCAGTGCACATTGTCCCACGCCTGCCACGCAAAAGCGGCGGAGCCCCAAGGGACGCCAGGGCGTACATCCGACCCCTTGGCCGTGCACATTGTCCCACGCCTGCCGCGCAAAAGAGGCGGAGCCCCAAGGGACGCCAGGGCGTACATCCGACCCCTTGGCAGTGCACATTGTCCCACGCCTGCCACGCAAAAGAGGCGGAGACCAAGGGACGCCAGGGCGTACATCAGACCACCCCCTTGGCGTGCAATTGTCCCAGCCTGCCACGCAAACGAGGCGGAGACCAAGGGCGCCAGGGCGTACATCCGACCCCTTGGCAGTGCACATTGTCCCACGCCTGCCACGCAAAAGAGGCGGAGACCAAGGGACGCCAGGGCGTACATCCGACCCCTTGGCGGTGCACATTGTCCCACGCCTGCCACGCAAACGAGGCGGAGACCAAGGGACGCCAGGGCGTACATCCGACCCCTTGGCAGTGCACATTGTCCCACGCCTGCCACGCAAACGAGGCGGAGACCAAGGGACGCCAGGGCGTACATCCGACCCCTTGGCGGTGCACAGTGTCCCACGCCTGCCACGCAAAAGAGGCGGAGACCAAGGGACGCCAGGGCGTACATCCAACTCCCTTGGCATGCACATTGCCCCACTCCTGCCACCAAAAAGCGGCGGAGCCCCAGGGACCGCCAGGGCGTACATCAACCCCTTGGCAGTGCACATTGTCCCCACCACGCCCTGCCACGCAAGCGGCGGAGCCCCAAGGACGCCAGGGCATAACATCAGACCCTTGGCAGTGCACATTGTCCCACGCCTCCGCCCACCAAAAGAGCCGGAGCCCCCCAAGGGAACGCCAGGGCGACAATCCACCCCTTGGCAGTGGACATTTGTGCCACGCCCCACTCCAAAGTGGTGAGTGAGGTGAGTGAGGTGAGTGAGGTGAGTGAGGTGAGTGAGGTGAGTGAGGTGATTGAGGTGAGTGAGGTGAGTGAGGTGAGTGAGGTGAGTGAGGTGAGTGAGGTGAGTGAGGTGAGTGAGGTGAGTGAGGTGAGTGAGGTGAGTGAGGTGAGTGGAGTGAGTGAGGTGAGTGAGGTGAGTGGAGTGAGTAGGTGAGTGAGGTGAGTGGAGTGAGTGGAGTGAGTGGAGTGAGTGGAGTGAGTGGAGTGAGTGGAGTGAGTGGAGTGAGTGGAGTGAGTGGAGTGAGTGGAGTGAGTGAAGTGAGTGAAGTGAGTGAAGTGAGTGAGTGAAGTGAGTGAAGTGAGTGAAGTGAAGTGAAGTGAGTGAGTGAGTGAGTGAGTGAGAGTGAGTGAGTGAGTGAGTGAGTGAGTGAGTGAGTGAGTGAGTGAGGGAGGGAGGGAGGAGGGAGGGAGGACGGGAAGGAAGGAGGACGAGGAGGAGCGGATACAGAACTAAAAACAAAAACCCCACACGTCAATGTGGGGAACTATCCTTAGGAGAGGGAACCTTGCCCAAGAACTATCAAGAACTAAACCTGGAATGCTTGGAAGTTGGTTGTACAGGATGGAAGACAAGCCTAAGCTTGAGCATGATTTGAACATGCAGAATATCTCCAGAAATATGAAAATATATCAAAATCATCTAAGATCAATAGGATCGTCCAAGATCATCCACCGGAATGTCTGGGGAATCTTCGGATGCAGAATCTCCAGAGATCTCCAGGCTTCATCTCGTCCTTCTTCAGCCTCCTCCCGGGACTCCTCTCCGAGCGAAGCGGGCGACGCCATCTCCAAGACGACCTCGGAACTGGGGACATCGGGGACGCTTCGATCGCTCCAGCGCCCCAGGAGAGAACTTGGACGGGCGAACACCTCCGTGGAGAGCCGGGCAGGCAGCAAATCCACAGAGAAGAAGAGGAGTAAGGCAAGCAGATGCAAGCAGATGCAAGCAGCACTCACCGGTTGCGATGTTCACCTGTTACATCATGTTAGAATCAGAATATATGCTATAGATATTTTGCATTGCAGTATCTGATACTTTCTGGCGGTGCCATGGTGTTGTGAAATGTTGAGAATATCTCCCAAATATTATTAAAACCTGTATTTAAATTATAGATTCATCCATCAATTGAACACGGATTTTTCAGCCCAGATGATAGGTATCCACATAACCACTGTGTCGGAAATCGCAGGGGAAAGGTGGCAAAAAGCGCTCCGAGAGGCCATGGGGACTTGCCTCAGGGAAGTTTGATGAAGTTGGTAGAAATTCATTTCATCCACGGATATCCACGGATTTCCCATCGAATCCTGGGATCCAGGAGGGCGAGTACCAGCTCTGCGGCAGCCTCCCAAGGTCGTCTTAAAGACAGCTCCCATTGAACAACAACAACAGCTGAAACAAAGTTTTTCAATATGGATCCCAAATCATCCCAAATCATCCCAAATCATCCCAAACCCCTGACTGTTTCTGCATTCTGTGTCAGTGACTGTCAGTGTCTCTTGTTGCGACACTGTGTCTGGTTGCTTTTCCTTAATGATCACTGCGTCCTTTGGGGTACAAACCCAACATGTGCCTTCAGACAAGTCGCACGAGCCTGATGATCAAGGCAAACATCTGGGACAGGACAGTGTTTCAGACAGTATATCCCACAGGATCCCGATTTCTTTTTGCCACAAACATGATGGAAGCAATCGAACCCGTGTCATCCCGTGTCAAATACTTCTTCTTTGAAACTATATAAATTTCGTGAGCCCACCCAGTCCCAAGCAGCGTGAAGAGATTTTTGTTCCTGTTTGAGACTTGGCAGATTCATGACCGAAACAATCCGAAACAGTACTTGTCAGGTGACGAGACGACATCCGGCAACAGGTGGGATCTCATGAGATGGTGCCAATAAGTTTCGAAACAACGTTGAACAAGAGGATGAATAACATTAACTAGCTAATACAGATCATCGATATTACAGATAAATACATCCTACGTAATACATCAGATATTTTAGATATTTTAGATATTTTAGATGGATTACTAGATTGAAAGTGACCGGGTGATACATGGTGATACCAAGTGGCTGGTGATTTTCAGTGCTTTCCAGAGGGAAGAGCGATGAGGTGCAACGAAGGGTCTCAGGGGGCTGAGCTCTGCAGCTCGAGAGCGCCATCTGATTTGAGTACCAAAGATAGCATCAAAACAGATAATTGTTGAGAATTGATGATATAGTTGGTGATATAGTTGATGATGCTGTAGTTGATGATAGTGGATGATATAGCTGATTTATATAGTTGATGATAGTTGATAATAGCTGATGATAACTGATGATATAGTTGATGATAGTTGATGATAATTATATACTTAGTTGATGACAATTGATGATAGTTGATGATGGGATCATAGTGATGGACATCAGTCTATCTGTCATACGCAAAGAGTAGCAAAGCACTAGCCCACCAGGAAGTCGGAATGTGTGAACCAGGTACGTCATGCTCCCGCCGAAACTTATGTACTGCGACCAGAGTCGCATATTTTTTCCAAAAACTACTGAGAAGAGCAAGCCGATCAAGGCTTCATATATATATATATATTATATATATATATTCTCATCATGTTGAGGCTCTCGTTCTCCTTTCCACACCAGGCCAGATGCACAGGAAGACACTGGAGCATCTGAATCGGATGTCGACCCGCAAGCCCAGGCAATGGACGTTGCCACGTTCATCCTGCATCATAGGAAAGATGGGTTAACTGGGTGGGTCACAGCTGTCCCTGCGACAGGGAAGCGAGCATCTACAGCAATTCCTCAAGTTGGATCGTAAAAGTTCTCGATTAGAAGCCAAGGCAAGGGGCGCAATGCGTCGGAGCATTTGCCTGCAAAGTGCTTGCTGTTCCATGATGATGGCATATCAATATTCTTGCGGGAATGTCCAGAAATGACAGGGAGACAGATCTTTCAACAACAACACAACAAGTATATAAAACTCTATAAATCTCCTCCTACTAAGTCGCTCTTGATTTGAACTCATTTGCCAATCTGGTCATACCCAAAGTACTTGTACCAGAGGTGTGATGACGCATTCGCATGACTCACCCTGGCGCGACAGGTGCGAGAAGCTACGGAACAGCTTTCCCAGATGCGCTCTGAAGTTTTAGGTGGCGGGATGGAAAGTCTTGGGAAGTTGATCCAGGATCCCTAGAAACACTGATGGATGTGATGGAAACGGTATGAAACGGTGCATACAGTAGCATACATCAATAATTTCATCTAAAAAAATATTTACTGATATGAGCATTGAGACATACTGAGACGGATATAGACGGATCTGAATCTGTTTGCGCTGGGCGTGCATTGACCAAGACTGGACTTGGAGTGTATGGAACTGTAGACACCAAAACAACTTCGATGCCATTGTGCTGAAGTATGCTGACTCGACTTGTTGACTAAGTTGGGCTCGGTTGAATGCCTCTGATTCTGCTGACTAACATTTAGCTTGACAAATCAATGGACCAACAGCATCACATCATCAATCTGGAAATATCTGGAATCCCAAAGTGACGAGTTTGATCATGTTTGATCAATTGAGTTTCGTTCAATCTGAAATTGACGGTGCTTGGATTTGCTTTTGACCAGCCAATATATCGATAACATTTCTCCCTTGGAAGACAACACAGATGCAAACAGACGTCTTCCAGTTCTGTCATGCAGCATGACCATGCAGGTAATTCTCATTTGTGACAAAGTTGTTTCCTGCTGCACAGATGGTGTCCGATTCTCCGCCTTATATCTTGCACGGAACTGGGAAGTTAGGACCCCTTTGCTCTGATTTGCGAATTGGCTTGGTGTCAACTCTGCGGGATGTGGAGGATCAATTTCTACAATGGTTGGAGTGGTTTCGAATCATCGGATTTGCACATCTCTTCCTCTATTTTGACGATCCTGCTTGTGATGAGGCAGCCATCGCAGCAGCTCGATCCACCTACTCAGAAGACTTCGTGTCCTTTGCGCTGAATACTCCGGAGCTTCGGAAGGAGTGGATGTCACTGAAGACGTGGCCCAAGTTTTCGCCCTTTACGGACGACCGCATGTGCCGGCAGCTGCTCAACATTGCCCATGCATTGCGACGGGCGCAAGCGGCCCCAGCCGAGTCTGTGGAGTCTGTGGATTGGATGTTCCATTTGGATCATGATGAACTGTTCTTGCCACCTCCACAAGGGTTACAGGCGCATTTCAAACATTTGGAGGCGGGCAATTGCCGCCTTTGCCTCTACCAGAACTTTGAAGCAGCACCTCGGGACCATACCACCATGCCCTTTGTTGATGTCAACCTCTTCAAGATCCCCAGTGGCCGTGTAAGCAAAACTCCCCTGGGAGCCGCTGGGATGAACTTTTGGGCCCAAAGAACCAAGGCACGAAACTACTTTTTGTACTACGACAATGGGAAAAGTGCCGTGAGGATTGACAAAACTTACAAAACTCATCGAGGTGGCAAAGATATCGCCCCAACCTCCGTTCATTTGCTGTATCCTCCTGATGATTTGGAGGAATTGATCACTGGAAAGCATGGATGGACCACATTTCCAGAACATGAACTTTCAGATATGAATCTGACCTGGATGTCATCCTGTCATGACGAGATTGTGGTTGGTGCAAAGGTGCTGCACTATCCTGCCACCCATTTTGATCGCTTGTGGCATAAGTACAACCACTTGGGGAATTTCCCGGCCGTGCGATTTGGAGGCGAATTGGTTGTGCCAGACTCATTTCACTTGCAGGCACGTGATGAGTACTTAAAGCATCAGGACAAGACTGTTCAGCAGCAGAAGCTGAAGGAACTGTTGGAGCACGCTGCGTTTCTTCGAAGTGACTTGCTGCATTGATGGTTCAATACAAATGCAAAATAGTTTTGTAGATTCGCTACGTCCGCTACCTTGTTCATTGTTCTTGTAGCTTTCTTTGCTTCAGACGATAGCTTTTGAATTCTTTTCTTAATGCTATAAATTACATTGCTAAATATATTGCATTGCTCATTGAAACTATATTAATATGATTTAATATGGATGTATGACATATGATGTATACTGTATACTATGCTTTCTTTCCGTTTCTTTGCTCGGAGGTGAGGAGGAGATCCAGTCGCAGTTGGAGACCGGCTCGGTGGTCGTCATCGACACGGTGCGCGACTCGTTGCAACGTGGCTGCTGGACAGCACCGAGGCTCCTGCGTCCGAGCCTTCATAGCCTGCTACAGCGGCGTCCCAGCAAGGCAGAGATGGAACGAATGCAAAAGATGAAGCGATTTCCAGTGGAAAAACTGTCATGTCCTGAAGGTCTTCTGAAAAATTCGGATCCTGGTTTGGATTTGGTGCTTCAAGAACTGGAATCCAAGGGCTGGGCGGCCTGCAACTTGGGACTTCATCCCAAGATCTTGCAGCGTGCCTTGCTGGAGGCTCAACAACTGAAGCCACGGATGGCCAAAGGGTCCACCGTCATCGAAAATGAGATCTTGGATCCCAGCCTTCCAAATGCTGACCGTGGGGATCGTATCTGGGTACTTCTTTGCTACTTTACTACGTTTTCCCATCATTGATAGGCTTTCATGATCATGTACTGTACTGTGTTTGCTATAAGGCTAGAGGTATCATGAGGTATCCATGAATAAACATTTCCACGAAAATTAGTTTGCTATCCAACTAAAACATGGCCGGTGTGTTTTCTGCCATGGCAAGATTGGCGCAGGTATCCTCTTCATGCAGGAACAAGGATTAAGTGGAGCCGCTGCAGCCAAAGGACCTGCACCCACTTTGACCATGCCCCGAGGTTCATATTTTGGCTATGATGACGATTGATATCATGGATACAATGGATACATAAGCATGTATAAGGACATTAGTGTAAACATTCAAGTCCAACTAGGGCTTCCATTTTTTTCATGGTCGACGTGTTTGTATGAGGTGATTCTATCCTCTTACTTGCGGTTCTTTTTAAAGAATGGAAAGACACAGAAAGACCTATTCCAAACATACCTGCTACATCCTGCTACATCGACAAAATCGCTATCACCTTGGTCGCCACCTTGGCTAAGCGTGGCTCAGGTTGGAGTCCGCACTGACCGATTTCGGCATGCAGTTGGACCTGAGGCTCCAACGTAGCAGCTTGCGGCTGCGGATCACTGAGCGTTGCGATGGGATGCTGGCATGTTGCATGGATGCCACTACCGCCGTTGTTATTTTTTTTTGTTTGTCCTCAATGTCAGAATAGATCATGATGATATCATGTGACATTCAACATAATACATATATAATCATATATATATAGGCATGTTGCCTTGTAACAACTAAGTCGCATGTTAAAATAAATAGTGATCCATGAGGTTGCGAAGGCACTGATCCCATTGTCAAATTGTTGAACCATGAAGAAGAGGGGGATTTAATATGATTTGGCTGATCATGACAGATCTCAGGTTACGAAGCTGGAGGAGCCTATAGCGCCCACATCGACAACGCAGATGGAGATGGTCGTGTGGATGGCCGAGTTTTGACCATGGTTTTGTACCTCAACGTGAATTGGGACCGCTCAGCAGGTGGTGAGCTGGCCATTTTTGAAGCAAACGATGGAGACCTGGGGGATCCAAATGTCAAGGGCAGCTGGCATGTGGTGTACCCTGAGGCAGGAACCTTGGTCTTACTTAGGGCAGATCGCGTGTTGCACGAGGTTCGCAGTGCCTATGAGGAGCGCTTTGCTTTGAGTATGTGGTTCTGTGGACAACATGTGGAGTACGGTGGATCATGAAAAGAGCAACTAAAAAAGCATCCAATACATTCCAATACCGTCAAAATCCCACTGCCGGGAATACAAAGTTCTTGGCTGAGATGGACATTTCTGAGAATGATCACGTTTAGTCAGCTGCCGCAAAAAGGTAGACCTGAGACTGGTTATGGGATTTGATTCACCAGATCTGGAGCACATACGAATCAGTCAATGCAAGGCAGTGATATTTGAGCATCAGGAGGCTGTTGCATAGAATTCAATTGCATGATAGCTTGCCAAACTGAATGGATTCCTCTTGATGTCTCCTTGAGATAGGCTTGGAAATGTCATGCAAGTTGTATATGCCTCAATGAAACTCCCGTAGTTGACTGTGACCATTCTGTTCGGCAAACATGGCATAATGAAATGGACATGTTTGAAATGGTCGATGATGTTCCACGCCTAAATGTCCATGAGAAGGAACATCTTCGATGTCGACAAAAAATTAGTCCAAGTTGGTCTCTAGGAAGTTCAGATAGGATTCGCCCGCAAACTATTGTGTCCTGGTTCTTCTCCAAACGATCCCAACTCCAAGTGCTTTTAGCTGGTGTCAAGATGGCTATATAGGCTACATGGATGTTGATGGATATTGATGGAACAAAATGGCTCTGACCTCAAAAACTTGGTGGGATCGAAAGCCTGCATGGACCATGGCCTCTGATTAGCTCTCAGCTTTGCCAGGTGAGAATGCATCACCCTTAGATTTGGACAGGCCAGGTTCGGGACCCCCAATGGCCCAAAACCTTGAAAAAACATGAAGAAACAAAATTAATCAGACATGATTGCATGATTCATGATTCCTTTTAAGCAGTCCTTTTCTGCGCAGGCTTGAAGGTCTTGCCGGAGATGAAGGTGCTCGAGCAATGGCTCAGGTGAGATGGAAATTGACATGAATGTGGTGCTGGATGGTCCTGGCTTTGAGATGTTTATTCATGTTTATTCTAGGAAATTCTAGCAACATAGGCAACGGATGGGAACGGAACTTTTGATGTTTTCAACATCGCCAGGACTCTGTCACGGAGCTGCGACAGAAATGGACCGAAGTGTTGAGGCTGGTTGGATCTTGGCTGTTACACAAGCGGTGCTCAGGGCAAACCTTTCGAGGTGGCGACCTAGCAACTTTGTATAAACATGTATCAACCTCCTGAGTTTGCCACAAATTCATATTAGATGTATTTAAGAGACACGTTTCTGACCCCGCACAGAGTTTGCTTTGATCCTGCAGAGCATTGTTCTGGATCTCAAAGAAGTTTTTTCCTGACCATGCACAAATAATTTTCCTAACCCTAAAAAAAGAATTGTTTGCCAAGAAGAAGACTTGAAAATGCACAACACCGAGGTGACCTGCGTAGAAACGTCACAAAGTTTCTTCCCCCGGACGTTGTCTACATCTTGGAGAGCATGACTGACATTGACCAAGACCTCGACGAGAGCTTCTGGCAGGCTGCTTCGTCAGAGCAAGCCAGGAAGTCAGAAGCTCGGCTGTGGTCGCAATTGGCAAGCCTGGATGCCACTGTGGACAACGCCAGCAGAGGCCATGCTGAGAGGCTGAGGTCTCTGGCAGCACGCACTGCCCTGCTGTGGGAAGGAATTTTGTGGCCCAGGGGGCAAATACTCCAGGACTTCCTCCTCAACAAACTCCGAGTCCTCATTGTCACCAGCGACAAGTCGAGAAAAACCTTGGGGACGTCGTCATCATGGCTCCACCAGAGGCCGTTGGGCATCTTGATTCAAGATGAGTACGAGAATGAGGGCTTCTTGGATTTTGCTTCTTTGATCATCCATTTCAACACTGTGATCACCGGAGGTGACCCAAGGCAGGTATTGAAACGGAACTTCTTGCCATCCACACGGCTCCCTTTGCCAGAACAACAAGAAACCCAAGGCATTTCGTTAGAAGACGAACCAGTGGCAGACTGGCTAGAGGCCAGGTCTTGTGTGGTCCGCATGGAAACCTCCTACCGGCTGGGCCCGGAAGTGAGGGAGCTGGTGGACGAAATTTTTCCACCCCCTTGGTCCAGAAGCTTCAGCTGCGCGGGCAAAACCAGTGTGTGTGTGTGGCGGAGGTGGAAGATCATTGGTTTCATTGGAAAGCTGGCGCGAAGTCGTTGCAGAGCGCAATCACTTGCAACTTTGCATGGTCCCTTTTCACTTGCATTGCTGTGCATGCCTTGCGTTCGTCTGAGACCAAGCAGGTAGCAATCGTGTCATACTACTGCACGGTGCTGATGGCTTTGTCTTTACACATCAGCAACCTGGCCAAAGCCGGCTATGCCATCGTCGGAAACTGCAACGTTGCTAATATTCGCTTTCTCACACCTGAATCTGCAGTGGGGCACACAGTCGAAGTGGTGCATTTTGTGGCTTGACAGCTACGTCGGCCCAATGATGCAAATCCTGCAGGCCACCAGTTGGAGCTGGGGAGGCGGTATGTGGCCCTCACCAGAGCTTCTGAAGAACTTTATGTGTGGGTTGCAAGAATGTCTTGGGCAGAGGACACGTGGACCGCCAAGCTCCAGTCATTTGCCATGGGATGCAAACTGAGCTTGCTTGGAGGGATGCTCGCAGAAGCTTGCCAGAGAGTTTTTGGATTCAGGGTTACGCAGGAGGATGTCGCAAGACTCTGGTCTATGTGGCAATACGAGGTGCCAGAGCAAGAGGAGCATTGTCACGGAGACGCCTTGAGACGATGGCAGGCACCTTCGGCTTCGGAATTCTTTGATGAGCCGGAGCTTTGTGTCGAGGTGTGGGACGAGCTGGACTGGTTTCCCGTCCCACCGGCCCTGCCCAAATTGGAGGGCTGCCATGAAGCCGAGGCAATGGAAGAGCAGTCCTCTGTGAATGCGACAGGGTGCCTCGTTCCCTTTTTGCCGTTGCACCAGTTTGGGAAGAATGCTTATTTCCTGCCACTTTTGTTTTGGTTCCCAGCTACTCCTGTCTACCATTGGGATTCCTCCAACGCAGACCTGTTTTTGCCGGCTGTGAAGATCATGCGGCAAGCTTGCAGATTGTTGCAGTCGGCCGGTTCCACTGTGGAGTACAGCGTCGAATACCACAAACTGGACCAGGAAGAAATAGGTGGCCAGACCTGGTTTGTAAAGCACTGCAATGCTGTGCGCGGTGCCTGCGTCCTGCGAGATGTTGGGCAGAACCAGAGGCCACGAGTGGCTAAGCTATATTGTGGAATGGGAACCGAAGGCCAGACATGATGGGGACGGGGGGAAACAACCAAACAACCAGGGAGCCGACCACAGAGAAACACACTGTCCACACTCCACACCGTGTGATATGTCGCTTTCCGTGTGATATGTCGCTTCCAACTCACACACCTCATCTCACACAATTCATCTCACACAACTGCACCTGGTGCTGCTTTTGCGTGGCAGGCGCAATACTTTGACTCTCTGGAGACTGCCGGCGCGCGCTTGGACGCCGCTGGACCCCGGTTGCTTTCGCATGGCAGGGTCAGCATTTGATGCTCTTGGCGCTACTTTCACATTTTTCTGCTCCTGGAGTTGCTTTTGCGTGGCAGGCACAGCACTGACTCTCTGGAGACTGCCGGCGCGCTTGGACGCCGCTGGGGCCCGTTTGCTTTCGCGTGGCAAGCGGAGTACTCTTGGCGCTACTTTCGTGTGGCAGGCGCAGCACAAACTTCAATCCTACATCTCATCTCACACACCTCATCTCATACACCCACCATCATGCATCTCTTCATACATCTCGTCACACAAGCCTGCATTTCAAAACTACAGTTTCAAATGTGGGGTCATCCGGGGCTTTAATTTGTTTACAACCTTGGGCCAGGCCAACGGCCAGACACTGCCTCTTGCGTCCTCACAACCAAAAAATCTGAGATTTTGGAGGTGCTGCTCCAGGCAGTGCTGGAAGAGGTCAGGGGGCTGCCGGCCGCTATCGTCCTCAATGAACAGGCGGACAGTCCAGCTGCAACAGACATCCTGAGCCGGCTAAAAGCCAGGTTTGCTCAAGGCATTGCAGACGGATCTGTCGAAGTTCGCATGGCGCAGCCATGAGGGCCAAAAGTTGGTTCCTATTTCACAATTTGAATGGTGTCACACGCATGCGTGAAAACATGTTGCTTTTGTTCGGCGCAGCCTTCCTTCCTAATCAGACAATAAGGGAGGTTCATGGCTTTGAGGTGGACCTGTTGTTTTTTTTTCTCCTGCAGGAGCCCGCGTAAAGCTATTGGTTTGGACATGCTTACAATTTTGTTTTAACATGGTGGTGCGTGGGCTTTAATTCGTGAGCAAGAAAAGGATTGGTGCGCAGGCATGAAAAAAAAAACGCAGTCAGAGTTTTTTGCCCTGTGCGGAGTCAGGGGGGTCGGTCATGTATTTAAGTTTGTAAGTGTGTTTTTAAAGTGGTTTTTTTGAACAATGGCCGGTAGTGTCATGAAAGGAATCAACATAACAAAATTGCACAGCGGGAATTGAGGGAGTCACTGCCAGCGTTGAGCGCAATCCCATTCGCAGTCGAACATCAGACGAGCAGTGATCTCCTAAGTGAACTGACTGTACGGATTCCTTGCATATGGTTGGACAACGCAACACGTCACAGCAAATAGGCCGTCTATTAGCGTGGCTTGGAGTTTGGAACCAGCATCCTCTCATGGCCTGAACTAATTATAGCCGAAAGGCATCCTGATTTGATTTTATTAATTTATCGATCTTTGTTATTCTTTGTTTGGGAGTAGATCTGTCATGATCTATCCAGTTCGGAAGAATTGCAGCTGCAGTATGCTGCCATCGAACTCTGGTGCAGCCGCTTGTAAACCTCCACCTAGGCCTCTGGAAGCAGAGAGCCCCAAGGAAGACAGGCACCGTCGCAAGTTTTGGCATGAGGAAAACCGACATCATTTGCAGTTGAATCATCTTGAATCGCTATCGGAAAAAAGTGCTGGGCAAGTTCCATGGAATCCAGCCATCACTGGAAGTATTTGGATGCAGAATACGGCCCAGCGGCCTAGTAAGATTCTTGGCAGCACTCTTTGGTCTTGTGAAGGTTGCAGACTGAAGAGGAGGCATTTCAGGAGCTGAGCGTCAGGTTCAAAGTCCTCACTTGTAACCTCTCCCATTTCTTTGAGCATTTC